TCATTTAAAAACCATACATTTTTAAAACTTTGCGTGAACATTTTAAATTAAAATAATATTATCTTTAAAATAATATATATATATATAACTAATAATTTAGCAGATACAAATAATTAGTCAACTTGCCCAAATTTGTATTTAAAAAATAGGCCTAAAATGGTATTTCCTGTTCTCAAAATCACGGGGCTTTTTTTTTGTCATTGCTGTCATCCTAACCTATGCGCAGAAGCTTTATATGACTTTTCTTCAAGTATACTCCAATTCCACCTTACATACATACAGCATTAGCATACATACATGCAGCATTAGCATTTTGATTGGCTGATCAAAAATGTGAATGATCAAAATCAGAGAATTTCCATGTTCCATTTTACATTTTTTATTTTAAAATCAAGATTTTTTTTAGTGATTATTTTTTTAAAGTACATCAAATAGTTTTTAAACAATGTTTGAACTAAAAAAAGTTTTTTTTTTTAATATTATAATTAGTAATCTCATCTTTTTAATAAAAATTTTTTAATATAATTTTTTTAATTTTAGTATGCAGTATATACCAATTGCTGCAAAATCTTGTTGATATGTTGCAAAAAAGGTCAGTTATATGGAAATACAATGTAAGCTTAAAAAGCCCATTATTGAATCTGCTCCCAAGAGAGCAATCAGTGTCTAAAGAAGAATATCTGAGAAAAGATTAGCCATTGGCTACGTTCAAACAAATAAAAACAATCATGTAGACAGTTACCCATTACCAAAGATTGGTGACCAAACAAAGTTGCCAAATTTTTTTTTTATTCTGATTTACTTCCAACAAGGCTGCAAGCAACCACTATAAAGTTGGGAGTTACTAAAAAACAAAGAATAGAGTTTAAGAGCAAGGAAATGGTTGACAGAAGACTTGAAAGGTTTGTATAAGTCAGAAAAACATGAAGATAAAAGAAATGAAGATGGGAGAAAGTTCCAAAGTGTTAGGTTAAAGTGTGGAAAAAAACTAGACAAATAAAATTTCACTAGAAATTTCACACTGATCAACTAGAAAGCCCAGCCAAAAACTATTAATCGCATACCAAATGATAGTTTGTTATGTGATTAATAGTTTGATAATTTCAAGTAAAA